GGGAGCCCCTCAAAAAAAAAAAAAAAAAAAAAACAAGTGTGAGGACCCAAGTTTGAACCCTGTACCCCCCCAAAAAAAAAGATTCTGCATTTCTTTGTAATTATGTTACTTTTGCTTCATATCATTTTAATAAGTATAGTTATAGTTATACACTTTTAAATTAATTGCACACAATAAGTCATTCATATAACCATAGTGAAATAAATGTCCCATCCTCCCTCTGCTACATTTCCAAGGGCACACAATTAAATTCTATTCTTACAAGTTGAACTCAAGTGTCTAACTCCAAAATCAGAGCTCCTTAAGATGTGTATTAAAGTACAGTGAAAGTCTCAAACCAAAACAAAAACAGTAACGGAAATTTGAAATACATCATATCCATTATACCATGTGGCATCTAAGATTAAAGCAGAGAGACAGATTCATTACCTACTGCACTAATCCAAGCATTAATCTAAAAACAGATGAACCTGGCACAGGAGAAAACACAAAAGGATGCAAGTTAGAGTTAAGATAAAATGGATAAATTAATAACTGAATAGATGAGAGACAGCTGGGGGTAGAAGAAAGAAAGTCTAAAAAACTAAGCACAAGCCAGAAAGCCTAATAACAATAGCCTCCTTTGGTAAAAGTCAGTGTAAAGGTAATGGCTATTGATGGGGAAAAGCAGGGAACAGTTCTGACTGTGTATATTATCTTTTCTGTAAACAGTACTTCTACCAATATTTATTATTTACAAATAATTACTACAGGCCCATCCCTATTTTCAGTGTCCTACATGCATTAACTCACTTAATGTATATATTTTTAAAATCCTCTACCTGAAAATATAGCTTGATGCTAGAGTGCTTGCCAAACATTCATTAGGCCCTGGGTTCAATTAAAGTTACCATAAAAACAAGCAAACAAAACCCCTCTAAAACAAGTGCTACTTTAAAGTTCAATCGACTTGTTGACATTCATTTGTCTGCACGATGATATGTAAATATTAGCACTTGTAGGCTTACTTCTAAAGCCTGTGTTCGAGGATAGTATTTTGGAATGGCTAATAAGGGAGATTTCAGGAACAGAAATGGAGAAAAAAATTTTATTTCCAATAAAATTATAAATTATCATCAATGTGGGGCAAGAGGAGATGGGAAGGAGACAAAGAGTAGAGGGCTAAAAAAGAAAAATCGACATCAGAGCATGGGAATATAGAGAAGAAAATTCTCCAGGGAAAAAAGAACCACATGGAAAATGACAGGTCAGAAGGGAAAGCCAATGGATAACACACTAATAATAAATAAATAAGCATTGGATTTGAAGAGGAACAGTTCACTGGTGACTTAGGCTAAATTTAGCGACATGAGGTAGATCACAGCCAATTTACACAGAGAAATCAATGGAGATGGAGCCATTTGCTAGTTTATTTTCTAATAAGGTACAGTATATGGCATGTTTTGTACAGAGAAACACAAGTAGGAGTCTTGCTGGATGCAGTGGGCACAAGATATGAAAGAAAGTATGTAAGAACCAGTACAAAGTCATTACTGCTATTAGAAATCTGAACCATGCCATGGGAGGCTATAGGAACACCGCTCAGGATCCATCACTCATCTCAGAGAAAATAGCGGAGCATCAAAGTTCCATAGTTCCTAATGCTTGCTTTCTATAAACAAATTATTCCCAAATGATTGCAGCACCCATCTCTATAATCCTTTGTGGTGGTGCTTTTCAGCAACCATTTTTCTGCTTCTCAGAACTGTGTTCAATGCAAATGAGTATACAGAACGAAGTAAGGTGGGCTGGGGATTTAGCTCAGTGGTTCCGGGGCCTGCCTGGGAAGTGCAAGGGTCTGAGTTCGATCCCCGGTACCAAAAAAAAAAATGTCTACAGAATACAATAAGGTTCCATGCGATGAGGTCATTAGTATTCTTCTGCAAAGTACTTGTTGTCTAATGTAAAACAAAACAGGTATGAAAACAAGGTTAAGCAACAAAAATATGACTGACTTTGATAAGGTTTCCAAATGAAAGTTATCTACTAGAGAGGAGAGGTCACACTCTGTTAGAACCAGGAATGTTATGAATGCATGTAGTTGATACTCACCAATGTGCTATAATTAACAGTAGCTCCATTGGTGACCCACTATGGAAACATGTATACATGTTGTAGAACCTTTACAGCAATCTAAAAACTCAACAATCCTACTCTCGTTTTAAAGACAAAGGAACTGAAACCATAAAAATATCACCAATTTGCCCCAGATCAAAAAATCAGGTGGTTATAGAGCTAAAATTAAAAGTTTGCTCCCTCTCCCTGTGATGGTAGACTAAATCATGTATCTACAAAACAATATGGCACTTTATACTTATATTCTAGAAAGTCAGAATTGAATTTTCTAGGGATACATGTAAGATTAGAACTGAATAAACTTAGTGCACACTGTTACTGGTATCAACCTTGACCAAAAATTGTGGGAAGCTGAAAGGTATTCTATTTGAAGAAAAATTACTATGCAGTATAAATACACAGTAGCTTACTGTGATATTAAGTTTGATGATTTTAGAAGACTTTAGGCACAACACCTGTGTCCGCCAAATCTCAATTTTTCTCATATGTAACAATGGAAAGCTTATCCCATCATCGAAATAAACAATTACTGGCAGTAGTAAAAATAAATGGAAGCATATCTAAAGTCAAAGTAATAAGATAGGAAAATTAGTATGATATGAAACTGCAGCATGAATTTAAATAAGCCCACAAGAAAATTTTGTATAAAGGGATATACTACCAAAACTATCCCTGGAAGATTCTCACAGTTCCATAATTATGCATCCTGGGTGGGTCCTTTTCAAGGCCTCCAAAGGCTTTTAGCTATAAGTTACCACCCAGATACATTTACTCCCAAATAACCAAGGTACAGGCAGAAGCACATCACGATGCTCTGATGAGTTTAATAAAACATCCCAGATTGGGCATGTATTTATCTGATGCACGTCACACTTCACGTTGTTAGGGTTCATATGCACACTGTGAAGCTGGAAAATGTAAGGAAACGGACGATAAGATAGCAGTCTAAGAATGCATTCAAAATAAGGTTTCAAAATATTGATCTTTGTGTGAGTTGCAGAAATTATCTCATGCAGGGTTTTGTCAGTGTGAGTGCCTTTTCCCCCAGTGGAGAATTTGATTCTTTTTCGTCCCTCCCACTCAGCGCTTGCAGATTGCTGTAGAAGGCCAAGGCAGCCTGCTCAGCAGCAGGGAAGCCAGGCTGGGTGTTCAGGAGCTATATATAGCTCCACCTTGGAGATGTGCATGCGCTAGCACACATACAAATACCCATGCTGGATTTGGCATGAAAAAAAATTAAATATGAAGAAGGGTTGCAGCTCTCCCTTCTTTTCTCCTTCTCATCAACCTAATCTTTCGGGAATTTTCAGAGCAGGGTGCCTGCAGTCTGGCTTCTCTGCAATTCTTCCTACAGCTCTCAGCAATCTGACTCCAGAAGGAAGAGGCACCGGGCCAACACCTACTACCCAGATGCGATCACCGAGGGAGGCTGCCTCGCGGCTTTCTGGAGTCCATCCGGGCACAGTCCCTGGACTCTGGGAATCCCTGAGACCAAACCCACCCTTCAGAAACTAGGTGAGGCGGTGATTCCCAACAGAAAACACCCGGGTAGGAGAGAAGAGGCAAAGCGTGCGGTCTCTGCTCTCTTCTGTCTGCAGCGGGTCCTGGGGAAGGGCTCGTGCCTTGGCAATAGAGGCGTGATTAATTGGAAAATGCCTTCGAGTTGCAGGAATTCCTCCCCAACCCCCACCCTGAAGAGCTAGGGGAGCCGGGAGGCACCACGTCCTCCCCGCCCTCGCCGCAATCACCCCCAGCTGTAGCGGAGACGAGCGAGTCCAGACCGCAGGTGTAGCGCAGGGAAGAGGAGAGGGTGCGGGCGGACGTGGGGAGGACAGGAGCCCTCGCGACCCGAGACCCCTCGTGTCGACCTCTGCCGAGTCCACACGGCATCCCTGGGCGAGTCGCCAGCGCGGGCAGCCGCAGCTCACAGAGGAAAGTTGAGGAGCAGAGCCGGGGCTGGGTCCCCTCTCCTGGGGCACTGCCGCCCTTCCCTGCCCGTCGCCCCCAGGCTCCTGCATCCGTCTTTCCTGCACCCCGCAACCTCACCCCAGTCCTTCCTTCCCTCCTTCGTGACCGGAGCTGCAGCGATCACGGGAGATTTAGGGTAACAAGGGCGGGGCAGGAGGAAGGGGCAGGGAGGCGGCGGCATGGAAATACACATTCTTTATTTGCAAAGAAGGGAAAGTCCTGCCTCCTACCTGTTTCCAGCTCCTGCTCGCCTTGGCGCGGCACAGCTGGACCATAGCCTACAGGTTTCCGACTTCCGTGGCAGACACCTGGGAGCGCATCTCGCACCAGCGCCCCTCCTCGCCTCGGCGGAGCCCACCGAGCTATACTTGACAGCAGACGCCCGGCTTCGGAGAGCAGCGATTGGGCCCGCGGAGGAAATGGGGCGGAGTCGGGATGAAACTAAGCTCTCTGATTGGATGGAAAGGATATCACTCTTACCGACCGGGGCTAGTTGCGGACCCGGGTAGCTGGTGAACCCAAATGCAGAGAGGGTCTCTGCAGACCCTGGTACCAAAACCTCAGCCGCTAAGTCTGGGACCCCAACGAGGACAGAAATTGGCTTGAAGACTTGTCACCTGAGGCCCCACGGGGGAGGGAGGGGTTTGTCATAACTGAACACCCTGCACTTCCCTGAGCTTTCCTGAAGGAACCGTCTGCTCAGCGAGATTTGACAGGCGAAAATACCAGAGGCAGTGCTTCAACAGAGAAGCATGAACTTCAGCTAGGAAATGGGGGGGTGGGAATACACACACACACACACACACACACACACACACATATATATATCAGCTAGAATTTTTTTATGTTTGGATGTAATTTCGGGATTTTTCCCCCTAAATATACAATATGGTAGGTTTTCTTACAGCAAAAAGGTTGACCCGTTTCTGCTTTAAGTGCAGAAAACCTCCAAAATATCCCAATAGCAAAAGTGTTTCCAACGGACAAATGCTGCATAATAACCACTCAAGAAACAGTACAGGAAATAAAATAAAGGGACATGTCTTGAGTAGTTCAATTGGTAGCTAAAATCTTAATGTAATCTCCCCCAGGCTGACTGTTACCTTCCTGCTGATGTGAGTCCATCGTTTCTTTTTTGCTTGTATTCAAACCCTGAGGGAATGTAGAAGACATCAAAATCTAGGTGACTCCAAGCCTCTCTTCTAGTGGAGGTGAACAGGGCAAAATAACTTTGTAGCCTTTGTTCATCTCCACTGTCTACCCAGAGAGAATCTGAAAGCTATGAAACCCAAGGGACTCCTTAAGTTGTATAACAAATTACCAGGCCCGGGATTTAGCTCAGTGGCAACCACACCTGCCTTACAAGCACAAGGTCCTGAGTTCCATCGCCAGTATTAAAAAAAAAAAAAAAAAAAATCACAAGTAAAATGGGTTGGGGGGCAGGAAATGTCTTGGTTTGGAGCCTTCCTGCTTACAAATAGTTAAAAGTTCTCCCACCTAAATTAAACAGCCATCTTAAGAAATGTTGTTCATACAATTCATCTTCAAAGAGCTTCCTATAGTCTTGGGACATCTAGACAACTGTGAAGAGATTACATTGTTATTAATTTAATTAATTTAAGTAAAAGTGTACACCGTCATCTTGGTGCTTATGGTTGTTAATAATATTAGACCAGATGTCTTAAATGTTCCCTCCATTATACTTAATATTTTTGAAAGTGAAAAAGGGCCACTTTACAGGTAATTAACAAAGAATAACAAATGTAACTTGTGGTAAGAATCTTCCTAACACAGAATTGAAATGACAGAAAATGTAATGACAAGTTTCAAAACCTCTTGAGTCAGGTCTACTATCTAGAAAATATAAACTCAAAAAAATCAGCCCCCCCAAATATAAAGACCCAATTCAAAAATGGGCATCTGAATGAACAGACATTTCTCAAAGAAGTAAAAGCAGCAAGTAAATATATGAAAAAATGTTCCACATCACTGGTCATTAAAGAGATGCAGATGAAAACAACACTAAGATTCCACCTCACCCCACAAAGAATGGCTGCTATCAAGAAATCAACCAATAACAAATATTGGCAGGGTTGTGGGGAGAAATGAACACTTCTTCATTGCTAGTGGGTGTGCAGACTGGTCCAAGCACTATGGAAATCAATATGGAGATACCTCAAACAACTAGGATTAGAGGTCCCATTTGACCCAGCTATTCCTCTGCTGGGTGTCTTCCCCAAAGAATTAAAAGAATCATACCACAGCAATATATGCTCACCCATGTTTATAGCAGCACAGTTTGTAATAGCTAAAATTTGGAAACAGCCCAATTGCCCATCAATTTGAGATTGGATAAAGAAGATTTTTTAATAAAATGGAGTACTTCTCAGCCATAAAGAATGAGAAACTGGAGATATTTATAGCTAAATGGATGCACAATGAGGCCATACTCTTAAATTAATAAGTCACACCTGTGTAAATGCCAAATAAGTTTCTTTAGTGTGAAAAACTAAAATTGTAAAAAAGGATCAAAATGTATAACTGATACTATGTAATAGGAAGAAAAAGTCTACAAGCATAGAGGAAGCAGGAGGGGTAGGTGAAAGGGAAAAAATATGGGAAAAGGAAAAACATGGAGTCAATGTCTTTGTAACCTAGAAAGGACGGAGGGAGTGAAGAAAGGGCTAGGAAATGGGGAAAAATAAGCACTAAGATAAGTCATGCAAAGGTACAGGATCCCAATGATGAATGTAACTGTGTTGTATACTACCTAAAATGGTACCAATAAACTTAATAAAGATTTTTTTAAAAAAACCTCCAGAGCTGTGATTCTACTTAGTACTCCCTTAGCCTTGTACCTTCACCCCCAGGACTCACAAAGTATTCCACTGAATTGAATGAGTCACTCATGAATTACTGAGCACTCATTCTGTGCCACACTCTGCTAGGTACTGTGGAACTAAACAAGACAAATACATTCAACTTATTATACAGGGGCTCATGAGTCAATTAAGATAGTAAAATACTGAAACACCCATTTTCAGTACTATCATCTTTTGATTCTTCTGCATAAATTATTTTGAGTCACAATGAGTGCCAGCCCACCCTCCTCTAGGTTTAAGCAGAGGAGAAGGCAGTTTGTCAAAGGAAGAAAAAAAAAAAAGCAGGGTAGCACAGGAATGGAAATTGGAATTACAAGAATACTAAAGAAGTCTATGCTATGTTCTTTTTTTCCATTCCTTAGTCATTCATTTCTTTAGCAAGTATTATTATAAACACAGTGGTAAATGAAAGAAAAGCTGTCATAGAGGACATCCTTTAAGTATAGGCACACAATTGATTTATTTCCAGATCTAGAGTGTGTGTGTGTGTGTGTGTGTGTGTGTGCACACGGGCACACATGCTCATGCATTTGACTGAATATTCATATTATTTCTATCTCAAACAGATCCCTCATATATTTTTAGATAAAAAAAAACTGTTCCCTGGTTAGAGTATTAGACACAGAAAACAAAAACATAACCTGTACAATTGCAACGTAGGCCACCGAACCACTGAGCTAAATCCCCAGCCCTCCATTTTCTTAAGTAAGCAGGAGTCATTACTAATCCAGTGGTAATAAAACCCAGTGATGTGTATAAAATGTTTGCTTTACATGACACAACAGACATCTATCAACAATATGTACTTGTTGAGTATATGGTTTATAAAAGTAAAAGTCTGAAGAATCTTAGAAATCATTAAGTTTCACCAATTACTCTGTGGAGGAAGGAATCAAATGTAATTTGCCCAAGGTCATGTAACTGGCTACATCTAGTATCCAGATCTTAAGACCATCCACCATTATTTTTGCAACCACAAAAACAGTAGCTTTTTCTGGTATCTCTTCCAGCAGAATGCTTTTCCTTTTTCCTCCTTGAATCATCTAAGTTTTCAGGACTGATTTATTTGGTGCTTCCATAATTCAGCTTCCATAAAATACATGAATGTCACCTCAATTAGAAATTAAGAAAACCATGATCAGTAGCTGTTATGGCTTTTGTCTAGATGTCCCATCAAAGCCTCACACAGTCATAGGTGAGGCTTTTTCAGAGGTGGCCAGATCTAGAGTGTGTTATGCTGGGAATGATTCATGGTGCAATGCTAGGATTAAGGGTGTGAGTGCTTCCCAGATAAAATATAAGAGAAGGACAGTAGCTTGTCGATTGTTGCTTTGCTTCTGCCTGCCACAAACTGTTTTTCCTAAGCAATGCCTCTCTGCCATGCCACCCTGCCTTGGAACTAGCCTGAAACCTCTACAAACTGGGCACCAAATAAACCTTTTCCTTTTGTATTTAATTAATTTGTTAATTAATTTCTTTATTGGTACAGGGGATTGAACTTGGGACCTTGGGCTTGTGAGTTGGGCAGTGGCACCACTGAGCTAAATCCCCAGCCAACCTTTTCATTTTTTTTTTTAACTTTGGGCATTGGGTATTTTGTCTCAGCAACTAGGAAAAGTAAGGCAGTAGTTAAAATTGAGGTCTGCTTCATGAATCTGGGCTCAAAGCACTCGGGACTGGTGTTGAGCTCTGCAGAAGGCTGATGGGAAATGAGTGGCCATCTAGGCAGGATGGCTCTGACACTGATTTTCTCACATGTGATGAATGGAATCACAGCAACAGGAGTCTAGATTATCCTGCTCTGGCAGCCTGATATAAAGTATATCTGCAGATTTAAAAA